ATTTTTCTCCTTTTCTGCTCTTTCCTTCTTCCCCCTTCTCTGTTTATTTTAATACTTTCAGATTTGTGTTTCTTTGAATTGCCACCGTCACCTCCGAAACACCTCCACGGTCATTGCTGCTACTCCACCTCCACCATCACGGCGGCCTTCGCATCCTACACCATCTCAACAATTATTAGATTATAAGTTTTATTTTTGTTTTCGTTTAATCTTGTAGAACTTTTATTTTTAATTTGTAATAGATTTGATAATTTTAATATAATTCTGAGATTTATTTATAATTCATTATTTGTTTTTTTTTTATTTAAAAAATATTGGTTTGTCGGAAGATCATCGTCAATATTTCTCAGAAGTTTATCGTAATTTTCCGATAACTTTCCAATAAATATTTCCGACAAATTTTGTTAACGGAACTTACCGATTAACTTCCGACAAACCGAGATTTCCGAGACCCAAACGCCGACTAATATTTGATTGTCGGGAAGTAGTGGGTAATGTCTATTACCGACCAACTGCCGATTAATATGCCCGTCGGAGTATGAGCTTTATTCTTGTAGTGTAAGTTTTCTCGGTCCCGAGGTGGGCCGGTTCAAAATATGACATAAATCGATAAAATAATAAGATAATAACTTTTTAGAAATTCCTATGTAAATATATATATGGTCCCATTAAAATCATAAATTAATAGGGAAAATTTTGAGAAATGCACTCAAATAAGATTATAATTTGAAAACTACACTATTGTTTAAGTTTTTGGAAAAATACACTTATGTATATGTAAATTTACCAAATTGTCCAATCTTAATATTTCTAAATTTCTAATATACTTTTTTTTAATTGTAAAAAAATCGTTAGAGAATTTATACATAACATTTTTTTAATATTTATCTAGTATCTTTCCCATATTTTTAAAATATATCTTAAATTTTTTATTATTTTGAAAAATAATAAAATATATTATATTATAAATAATTGTTTAATTTAAATATATTTAAATTGTTTATTATTTTAAATATATTATTTTTCTAGTTTCATAGATCTCATCAAGATGTTTGTCCATGTGTTCCGTTATCATTAGCGGTGTTTCGATCTGGTTTTGTCTTTGACTCCTTTGATTTGGTCGAGTTTAGTTTTTTTTTTTCTTTGTTTATGGTCATTACATTTATTTGTGGTCTGAAACTGAACAGTAGTAATAATTTAGAGGTTGCTAGAGAGAATTTATATAATTCAACAATCTTAATTTGTGTAAAGGCTTTGTTCTACCATCGCTCACTGGATAATTTTGGTGTATATTATAGAGTTATTTCACTGTTTATAGTGAGGAAAATTGTTTTCGTAACTGTCATTCTGCTTCTACTAATTGTTGTTACGATTCAGAAACTCACAACATTTAAGTTTTATTAGATTTCGCTTTTTGCTGAACCAACTATTACTTGTTTGCTTCCACGATGGTTTACTTGAACTTTGTAGACATTCTAATCTATTAGTTTAAAAGAGAAGTCATGACTCATTTCATGTGTGATTTTTTAGTTTATCTTAGAAATTTTATAAAATTTTACATTACATCATTATAATATCTTTTCATATCTTTAATTTTTTTTTTGAAATATAAATAAATAGTTTTAAGAAAATTCTAACAAAATCTTTTAAAAATCTTTTAGAATCTTTTCAAGATATAGTTTCAAAAATTATTTGATTAAAAATTTTAATTATCATAAAATATAATTAAAAATTTTAATTCATTTTTTATATATATACAAAAATTTAAAATTATGTGAACTACTTTTAAAAATATCCCAAAATTTTGTTTATGTATTATGTAGGTCCAAATTAATTTACTTTTTACATATATTTTAAATTTAGAAATAAAATATATAAATTAGTAATGTTACATAATAATGTTTTTTAAAATTGCTACAAATATTATTATAAAATTTATATTAATAATATTATAATCTACGTAAATATTATTATAAAACTGGATAGTATATAGACTACAAATTTTAATTATTTATTGATAAATTTTACTCCCTATATTTCTTAATATATGATGTTTTTGGATCATTATACAAAGAAATTTATATTATTTTAAAAAAGTATTTTTAAAGATAATTTTAAAAACATTCAACCAATTACTAAAACAAAACTAAAATTTTATTGGTTGAACAATTTACAATATAGTTAAAAGTAATCTTAAAACCTCAAGATACCCCTAAAGTTTTCAAAACATCTTATTTTTGGAAACAAAATAAATCTTTTAATACATCATCTAATTTGAAACGGATGGAATATTATATAATTTTACATATTTTCGTATTAAAATACCCGCACGGTTGTGCGGGTCGAGATCTAGTTATGATTATTGTTTGTATCTAGTTTTTTTTAAAGCATTGTTTAATTATAATATGGGTAAAAAGGTGAATTCACATTTAAGAAAGTGTAGTTTTAAGAAAAAATTAAAGATGATGTATTTTTAAAATTTCAAATCCTAAATAGGGTATTTTGCAAATTATCTCAAATTAATAATATATCTATATATACATTTCTTATAAGTATAACCTAAACTACATTGTTGATTTTATATTCACAATGATAATTCATGTATTCTTTCTTAATACTTCAATATATTTTGATAATATTTGGTAAGATTATATCAGAAAACCACATATAAATTATATGAAACATAAATATATAAAGTAATGAATATAATAAAATAATAAGAAAGTCAAATTTCTAAATTTTATGAATATATATACCGTATAATTAAATACAATTTTATTTACAAATAAAAATATTAAAAAGATAAAAAAAATCTATAAAAAGAAACTTTTTGTAAATTAATATCTCTATAAATTAATAAAATTTCAAAGTCCCAACATTATTAATTTATAGAGTTTTTAATGTACTCTCTTTGTTCATAATACAAGTTGTTGCGAAAGTTTTTTACTCTATAGTCTACAATATAAATTACTTTCACATTTCAAACTTTTTTATTTATTAGATATTATGTGATCAATTAAGTTATATGTTTTTTTGAATGATTAGCTAAGCTTATATATGAAATGATATTTTTATGGGATCCAAGTTAATGAAACTTAGTGTAGTTTCTTATATGTTGTCGCCTTAGGGCAGCATTAACCAGGGATTTTAGAAGGTTGCTTAGTCCCTAGGTCCCACAAAAAAGGAAGAACCAGCTGCTTCTCGTGCCCAAATAAGCAACGATTTTGGTGAGTGCTTGTACTGTTTGTGGGCCCCACTGACACGTGGCGGCCTACAATTAGTTACTTTTCTATTTTTTTTTTTAAAATCGAGAAAAACAAAAAAAAAAAATTTTAAGCACCCCTTGTGGGGGTTTTGGGTTAATCATGGCCTTAGAGCATTATCAACGCGGAAACTTATGATGAGTGCTTAGAAAAAAAACAATATACTAGTATGTGGGATCCACAGAAAAATGAAGCAACCACGCTTATTGTGATTCTTTAAGCGTCGTTTTTTGTTCTGTGCGCGAGTCCCACTGATACGTGGCAACCCATGATTGGTCTATTTTTTAATTTTTTTTAAATAGCAGAAAAAAAGAAGAAAATAAATAGCACCTTTGTGTATTAATGGTGCTCTTGAGCGCCAAGACTCAGAGATAAAATAAAGAGTTCTTTTCGTTTCTATTAGAAACGATCATTACAGTTCCTCTCAATAAGATTTTTAAAAGCTAGAAGAGGCGTTTGTGAAAGGAATGTATATTTAATTATAGTTAACATTTATGGAAGAAAATACATATATGATGAGTAACCAATTGTAAAATAACTGAAAATATATACTCCATTCTCTGTTTAATCAAGAAATAAAAAGAACAAAATATTCATAGGGAAAAAGAATAACTCAAATGTCTCTTATCAACCAAAACACACACAAATAGGTATGAAGCCAAAAGAATTTGATCACTGTGTGACTAGTGTCCGCGTTGACCACTAGTTGATGCATTGTTTAAACTTAGTAGTATGGGATTGATGGTGGAGGAGGAGATGCATATGAGACACCGTGGATTGGTGGTAGAGGCGTGTCCTCGTAGGACGGAGGCGGTGGAGAAGGTGGTGTTGGTGTTTGGTAGTGATGGTCGTTACTTGGACCCTCTTTGCACCCCTTAGGTGGTGGTGGTGGAGAGTGGTTTGGAGTTGCCGGAGGATGGTACTCAACCGGTGGTGGTGGTGGAGGACTTTGTGTTACCGGAGGATAATACACCAGTGGTGGAGGAGGAGGACTTTGTGTTACCGGAGGATAATACACCGGTGGTGGAGGAGGAGGACTTTGTGTTACCGGAGGATAATACACCGGTGGTGGAGGAGGAGGACTTTGTGTTACCGGAGGATAATATACCGGTGGTGGTGGTGGACTTTGTGTTACCGGTGGATAGTATACCGGTGGTGGAGGAGGAGGACTTTGTGTTACGGGGGGATAGTACATTGGTGGTGGTGGAGGAGGGCTTTGTGTAACCGGTGCATAGTAGACCGGTGGTGGAGGGGGAGGGCTTGTTACTGGTGGGCAGTCAACATGTGGTGGTGGCGGTGGAGATTGAACGGCGTAGTAAGTAGGCGGTGGAGGAGACGAAGGTGTTTGCTGATATTGTGGTGGTGGTGGATTTTGTGTTGTGGGTGGATAGTATTCTACAGGTGGTGGTGGTGGTGGAGATGAGTAGACGTAGGTTGGAGATGGTGGGGGAGGTGGTGGAGACGAGTAGATATATGGTGGCGGAGGAGATGGTGGTGGAGGCGATGGTGGAGGAGGTGGTGGAGATGAGTAGATATACGGTGGCGGGGGAGATGGTGGCGGAGGTGATGGTGGAGGAGGTGGTGGAGATGAGTAGACGTAGGTTGGAGATGGCGGAGGAGGTGGTGGAGATGAGTAGATATATGGTGGAGGAGGAGATGGTGACGGTGGTGGTGGTGGAGGGTATGCTCTAACAGTAGGTGACATTTCGGAAGAAGGAGGAGGAGGCGAAGATGGCTCATATTTAGGCGGGGGAGGAGGATATGACTTGACAGAAGGTGACATCTTAAAAGAAGGTGGCGGTGGCGGTGTCGCTCTAAAAGTAGGCGACATCTTAGAAGACGGAGGCGGTGGCGGCGTTGCTCTAAAAGTAGGCGACATCCTGGAAGATGGCGGTGGAGGAAGTACTCGGACAGTGGGTGACATCCTAAAAGACGGTGGAGGAGAGAAAATATTGTTGCATCCAAATGTGCTACAGTCAACAGGGCGTGAGGCTTCAGAAGAACACTCTTCAGACGATCTTTGACGTTCTTTACCGGCGATACAATTCATCGATCCATTAACCTCCACATTGCCTCCGGAAAGAGCCGCGCATCTTGGGGCATCACCGGTGAAGAAGTTGGAAGAGTAAGTGAAGTTCTCAAGGTTTGAGAGCTGACAAATGCTGCTTGGGATAACTCCAGTGAACCTATTGTTAGCAACATTGAGCTGCTCCAAGCTCTTCATGTTTCCAACGCTGGACGGTAACGGACCGCTTAACCGGTTGAAACTTACGTCGAAAACCGTCACATTCTTGAGATTTCCGATCTGAGGTGGTAAGCAACCGGTTAAGTTATCGTTAGAGAGGATGATCTCGTTAAGGGTCTTCCCCATTTGACCGATACTTCCTGGTATGCAACCTCCAAGATCGTTATCAGCAAGAACCAGAGCGGAAACCGGAGAGTTTCCCATGTTTTCAGGTATCCCAAACCGGAACCGGTTGTGGTTCAAGAATATAGCGTCAAGCTCTTTATCAAAAAGCTTGGACGGGATAACACCTTCAAACTCGTTGAAACGGAGATCCAAGAACTTAAGGGAAGGCAAAGACAAGACAACGATAGGGAACTTTCCTACAAAACGGTTGTTACTCAAATCAAGCTCGTAGAGAAGCGTCATGCGTCTAAAGGTGGTGGGGACTGTTCCACAGAACCGGTTCGAGTTGAGATGGAAGAGAGCGAGATCAGTGAGAAGACCGAGCTCAGGAGGTAGATAACCAGCCATATCGGCATGGTTAAGATCAATGCCCGCAACGACTCGGGTCTTGGGACTAGAAGGTGAAGGAGCGCAGAAGACACCATTGTAGGAACAAACATCTGAGCCGTTCCAGTTAGCTGTGAAGTTAAAAGGGTCAGAGAAAATAGCTTGTTTCCATGACTGAAGAGCAATGTAGGCTTGACGAAGACTCGGGTTCTCGAAGTTGAGACTCGGGTCAACTTTGATATTGTCACCGCTTATAACATCTCGGCCTTCTTGAGCTTTTGTATGCAAGAAACAAGCTGAGAACGAGAGGAACAAGAACAAGAAGAGACGAGGAGAAGGTAACAACACCATTGTTCTTTGTTTTCAGAAGTTTGAGAACTCAAAACATGAAATTTGAATAGTTTTTGAGAGGGAGAGAGAAGGAGAGAATAATGTTAGAACATGGGACAAGAAAGACCCACCTCACTAGTTGTGACATCTAAGATCTCCATGTGCTTCTTTATAAAAACAGTCAGAAATGATTTCAGAAGTCGTATCTTTCTATTTGTTTATGAATTATTTGTATTGATTAATGACAAGTTGGCACGTCGAGGATAATACAGAGAAGACAAGAGATTGACCTTTAATTACGCGGCCATAGATAGAGTCACCGTCACCGACTTTACTATATAGCTTGGATGCATGTCCCCAAAGATTCTCTCTGAAAATATAATAAGCCGTCACAGACCTACAAAACGCGTCTATCAATAATTCAATCAAAAATTGTTTAATAACCCAAAAGAACATGAAATCACAACTGGAGATTACAAAAAAGTCGTGACCACGGAACAAAAACTTGGATGCATGTCTGTTACAACGTACATTACGTTATATATAACATATCTTCAAATAGAATTCATTGTAGAGAATTAACACATGTTGGTAAGCATTTTCCTCTGTTTTAAGCTACAAGTGTATCTCTTTAACTCATTATAAAACTCTTTGTGCATTGTAAGAAAATTTTAGACTAGCCGTTACTACACAATCTCTTGAAATATCACAATAGATTCTCATTAAAGCGCATCCTCGTGAGATATTTGGGGAAGAGTTCCTCTGTCTGTTTAAAAATAAGAAAACACAGAAGAACAAGAAAATCTCAATCTAAGCGCATTAATATGTCTAAATGCAAACTTATAGTTATAGGAGGCAAAACATCAACGTGAAATGTGAATCCTAAGAGAGAAATCTATGTAAAGTTTTTGATACAATGTTCCAGAGATGTAAAGCAATGTGACTTAAGAAGATGAACAAGAGAAGATTTGACAAGAGCATTGAAACTAAATAATTTCTTCCAACTCTAAATATGTGGAACTAAAAGAGTTGAAAACAACAAAAGCATAATATAATTTCAAGTTGAAATCGGAAGTTCCAATTTGTAAATATCTTTAGCTACTAACAACCAACTTAGTAGCTAAAGATATTTAAAAATTGGAACTTCCGATTTCCATTTAGCCACACTAATCCGAATAACCCGAAAACCGAATAATCCGAACCGATCCGAACCGAAAACCCGAATGCTCAGAACTACAACCAACATTCTACAAATCCACCGTAACGTAACGATACCACAAATTAGAGAATCTAGCTGCACCTGCATTGCTAAATCTCAAGCTTACAGTGGAAAATGAAGATTAGCAAGTGTCTTAAACCAAAAAATATTCAAATGTTAATATAGAGACCAGAGAATTGTTCCACTAAAACCCTTATACTACTTCTGTACGGAAGGTACAATCAAAATGAAATCCACTTGTCGTTACGTTACGTATCAAACCACATTCAAATCAACAAATCTGAAAGGAGAAATTCGACCATATTAGGTCTTTCTAGTCGGGGTATAACACTTATTACATGTATGCCTCGGGTCCTTTGGGTGATACTGTATATATTTGGACTCAACTAGGTATTTAGAAAATTTTGGTTTGGCTTCGGATCGGTTTTTTTTTCCAAGTCGGTTTGGATATATAATTATAATATCTGTAAAGAACTACTATATTTGGATACAAACGGTTTCAGTTTGGTTTTAAGGTCTGTTGGGGCTAAAATCGGTTACGACGAAATCGACGACTAAAACTTTATGCAAAGATAAGAATAGGTTTTAAAACTACAAAAAACGTCGTGAACAAATCTAAGGATTCTCCGAACATACTATTCCCTTAAAACTAACAATCATCATCTTGGAAATCGACGAGAAATCGAATAAAACAATCTGCGATTGTTTTATTGGCTTTTAAGTTAACAAAAACGGTCGTAACGTCCAAACTCCCCGAGATATTAAAAATATTGTTAAAATCGGAATAAACACATCTGAACACATCTGTTGGGGTTAAAATCGGTTACGACGAAATCAACGACTAAAACTTTATGCGAAGATAAGAATAGGTTTAAAAATACAAAAAAACGTCGTGAACAAATCTAAGGATTCTCCGAACATACTATTCCCTTAAAACTAACAATCATCATCTTGGAAATCGTCGAGAAATCGAATAAAACAATCTGCGATTGTTTTATTGGCTAAGTTAACAAAAAACGGTCGTAACGTCCAAACTCCCCGAGATATTAAAAATATTGTTAAAATCGGAATAAACACCTATGAGCATTTCTTCTTACGTTCTCCGCAAGGATCTCGGGTCAAGAAAACAAGAAAAGATCGAAACCGAGCTGAACGCACCTGTCCAGCTCGCCAACGGGCAAGCTGGCCACTCATGTGACCAGCTTGCCCAATGGCGAGCTGAACACATCTGTCCAGCTCGCCAATGGGAGAGCTGACCACACCTGTGATCAGCTCGCCCATTGGCGAGCTGAACACATCTGTCCAGATCGCCAACAGGCGAGCTGACCACACATGTAACCAGCTCGGCCGTTGACGAGCTGAACACATCTGTACAGCTCGCCAACAGGCGAGCTGACCACACATGTAACCAGCTCGGCCGTTGACGAGCTGAACACATCTGTCCAGCTCGCCAACATGCGAGCTGGGTTCAACCATCTATGGCCCTCGACTCAATCGTACTCTGAACCGTGATCGGAACGTCTTTCATTTCGTCTCAATCCGCCTTACCATTTGAGTTTTACGATAAAAACCGTAAAAGACGTGTTTTTAGTAAAACCTCGAGTAAATCATATAAAACGGTAACGGTTAAACGAAACACCGAACATTGCCAAACTATACGATTAAGTCTAGATTTTTTATAAAAGATCACTAAAGAAGCGTTTTCTCGTAAAGCCTCGAGTAAATCGTATAAAACGGTAACGGTTAAACGAAACACCAAACATTACCAAACTATACGATTAATTCGTGATGTTTACTTAAAAACGACATCGCATCAGGAAACGATCTCGTCTAAAGTCGTAAAATGGTGAAATCGTAAAACGGCCCGAAAGGTCCTAAAACGCGATAAAGACCCACTCGTGACTTTGAATAAGGTCCAGCCCAAAGATACAATGACGGTTTACCTATTATCCGCAGAAGTGGATAAATGTAAAGGTTGAAGATAAATAGAAGTTTTCCGAAGAAAAATGGAAAGATCGAGATAAATGGAAGATTTCCGACAAGCGCGGATCAAGGCGGAAAAGGAAAGACCAAACCGCTCAGAGAAGGAGTATATAAGCAGACGGTCTAGGACGGAAGCCAAAAAGATATTCAGAACTCTCTTCACACAGAAAAACTTAGAGCATTTAGTCAATTTTCCGTTTTTGTTATCGAGTTGCGTCTCAACTAGGGTTTTAGTCTTAGGTTGCTAAATCTAGGAAACTCGTCGTCAGCTCTTGTAGCCAAGGCTTTCACCTCGTTGTACCGTTCTTACGCAAAATCAGAATAAGAAACCTGTTTGCTCTCTTTTCAATTCTCGTTTACATTACTATATTTTGTCGTAATCTGATTGCTTGCGTGTTGTTAAGCAGATATCCGGGACCTCTTGGAAATTAGGGTTTTCCCTATGTTTCTTTATTCACGGAATCGATAGTGTGAATTTCGGTTCCCACAAGGTCTATGGGTACTTTTCAGGTTTTTCATATTTTCGGGTCATTTTTTTTTTTTGGATCAATTTCATTTTATTTTCGGATCTTGTTTATGATTTACGGATATAGTTTGGGTAATTCGGATATATTTGACTCTATGCCCGAATTTTCACCTGAAAAACTATGTAACTTGTAACTTTAAAACCTGCCATATCACAAAATCCATAAGTAAAAACAAGCCAACCTCTTGTAAGAAGTTTCAAACACATAAGAAATACCAAATAGTAGACATAAAAGCAGCTTTTATAAAGTTGCAATTGAATATACCATGAATGATAATGTAACTACAAGTGTAAAACTATCACAACGATTAGAGAGATTCTCGATACCACTTACCATTACCACTGCATACAAAAACTCAAGTACCTTGAAGGACATGTTCAAATTGTGTTAAAAGTGAAGGTTGGTACTTAGTAAGCCAATCAAAATATATAACGTAACTAAAGTGATAATAGACTTTAAATCATAGCTCTCATAAAGATCATCTTCCATCTTCCATCTCTAACTATGAAAGAATTTATTTCTTTCTTATGACTCTTTCTTGTTTGAGTTTAATCGCACATTTCATGTGTCAAGCAGCTTCTGCTTGAGTATAAAACTCGACCACTGGACTGAAGGCAGAGTTAGATACTACAAAAGACACTTATTTTGGAAGTATATCCTTAGCTACTAGTGAGAGAACTGTATATTTTACACCATTTACTTTCTACTACGAGAGTACACATATGGATTCTCCAACAAATCCAACTCGTTGAACTTTTCTTGAAATTGCTTCTTGAACAACTTTGTTGTAGATGTCGTTCATATTCTCATAGACAAGTCCAATCCTATGTACTGTTCGCTGAGATACTTCATCTCCAAATTGGTGTTGTGACTGAGATTGAGAAGGTGTTCCTTAAGACTGACTATGAACTGATGTAACCGAACCACAAGTGTCATTATAATCTGAGGAGGATATCTGGTAAAACGAGATCTAACTGATTAATTCTTTAGAGTATGTCCATTGGTGCTAAACAAACCCAATTTCTTACAATCAGAATTAGATTTTCGTGTCGTCTGGCCACATAAACGAATAACTGCGTTTAATATGTTTTGAATCCAACATGTTTAGCACTTTTTTAAATCTGGCTACCAGTCGACCACATTTGTAGGATCATATTTTTATATCATTTTTTGGAGTAAGGTTTTCAAAAACGTTTGTTCAAGATTTAAACGTGTCATCCTTGTACTGGGTTCATGCTAATTTCTTTTTCTTTGCATCATTCTAATTTGGCTAAACTGACGTTTTAAATCATTCTTGCTGAAAGAGGATTATATCATTCACAAATGGATGGATAAGGAAAAAAGCATTTTAAGTAAAACAAAATTACGTATAATCTATATGCATATTGACATATTGTGTCAGAGTATTTAATATTTGGGAGATAATTTATCGAATTAGCAGACCGAGACAGGTAAGGCCATGTGTCCAGCCATTCTGTGATCATTTGGCTTCTTCTCTATTTATTTTGGGG